AGAGGGCGCTCGGGTGGCAATTGGCGGTCCTCAGCCAACTAATGTTGAATCTTGGACATCAAGGTGGGGATTGGGGCGCCACTTCATGATCTAGACACGCGCAACAATGGAACCCAGACTGTGTATTCATTTGATTATGATCTTCTCATCCATGTTCGGGTGATGTTGCTTCCAGAGTCATTGCCTCCAACAGCCCCGCTTTTTTTGCTCTTGCTGACCCAGACCTTCCGCATCGAAGCGCCTCAGATGATCCTGCCCGATCAGACAATTTCAAGTTCAGTGGATCAGGACCCCTCATCTTAAATTTTGTCTTTCGTGCAAAAAAGCATGGGAGACTGGGTATACACGGTGCCACACATGGCGGCACCCACGAGCTTGATGATGATTGATGATGATCAATCAAGAGCACAAGCTCAATGAGTTGGTAAAGCGCGCGCTGCGGACACTGTTGGGCGTTTGTAAGGATGCAATGGGGGATGATTGGGTATTTCCTATCATCACACCTGGGGCCCAGGAGACAATGGAACTTTTGGACCGGAAGCTACGTGAGGGTTTGGGAGAAGCGGCCTCCGGGGTTGCCCGGTGCATAATGGGAACGCTACTGTTGAAGCCAACTTTCATTGTCGGAACATGCCCGCAACGCAAAGCAGGTCAACATGACTTTTTTGTTGAAATTCCGATCGGGCTATGCATCAGAGAAATGTTAATGGGTGCAACGGACATGGTCCTGGCCGTGCCCGTGCACCTATCAGAGGAAAGGGAAAGGTAAAACCCAGGGGAAAAGCGCAGTGCCAAGGCTCCGCCAGAGGGACCAATTCTCTGCAGCTGTGGATGCAGCGATGGGATTCGGAAGCACTGAGCAGAAAGCGCATCGTGGCCTCGGCCCCAAGGGCACTGACTGTGCTATAGTTCACATTAGGGTTTTGTTTGGCGAGCAGAACAGCAACAGCCGTCCACTCCGTTTTTAAAATGGCCCTAGGAGCCCAAAACAAAACGAAAACAAAAAGAGGAGCCACCACGAGTTTCACCTTGCTAGCACATGTATAGGGCTGAGAATTCATTTTAAATCAATTCACATCCTTGACCCTGCCCCAATTCTGGTTCTACTTGTTGTTCTGCGTTTTTTTAAAAATCGGTTGGGGCCAACAGTTCGTTTCGGGCACGCTCAACTGTTCCGGGGTCCACGCCTCATTTTACCCTCGTAAGGGACACACGACGCATGGTGACGCAGCTCACTGCCATGGCATAGTGGCGTTCAAGAGCAAGCTGATGATGATGGTGATGATGATGAAATGATGATGATCTTGGTATAGGGTCACTGTGGACCGCTGTGATGACAACAGTTACCTGACCAAAAAGAGCCAACCAAGAGTGGATTTTCGCGGACGACATCACCTTTCTTCCTATTACGCGTGGTCATGTCTCCCCCCCCAACCCATGGAAGACACACAGTAGGGATCGATGTCTGGACACACATCGACTGGACATGTGCTAAACCTCCACGTGGTGTCCCTCGGACACCTGTGGAATCTATGTGTCTCACACGAAAACACATAGATAGCAGCATTCTCTGGCCACTATGTAACCCTGTAAAGTAAGATCCTCGGAAGGCACAGTTATGGCTCGAATATCTGGTTTACCTACGCTACTACGTACAACATCGAACACGTGGAATCGTAACTACACAGTCTAACTGGCACATTAACGGGGGGTATTGGGAGTGGTGCAGAGAAGTAGGTGACTCGTCCCAACACGGTCAGAAGCATCGTAACGTTGTGAATTTGTTCGTTGTTGGAGTGTGCAGGAGGTTGGACGTAGTGTACCTATGTTTGAAGTTCTCCTGTTCTTGTGGCATGTTTGTGATCCTGGTCACTGCAGGGTCCAGGCTCAGGCAACTTTTTCGAAACCTTCCAACTTTTGGATAACTCAGGGATGATGACGATGACGATGACGATGACGATGACGATGACGATGATGTCCAACCCTGCCATTCGCTTCTTGGCAGGCTCCTGGCATGGTCTCAAACAGCTTTCAAGCGCCTCAGATGCCGGTGTTGCCTGACATGCCAACCGCCTTTGGTGCCGTGCTCCAGCGTGTGAGTGCTGCCATGATGGCCCCCAGTGGGCTCTTTGGGCGTGGGAGTGATTGGAGGGAAGGGGCAACCTTAGCAACTGGCCTTTGCCTTTGGAAATGTTTGAACATTTTTGTGTACTTTCTTCTTTTCTTGATTTTTCTTTATTCCCGAGAGCGCCTGCGAAGGGTTCTTCGTAAAAAAGCAGCCGTTGTACTACATCTTCACACCTTCACATCTGCTGATCTAGATCTTCACACCTTCACACCTGCAGATCTAGATCTTCACACCCTCACACCTGCAGATCTAGATCTTCACACCCTCACATCTGCAGATCTAGATCTTCACACCCTCACATCTGCTGATCTACATCTTCACACCTTCACACCTGCAGATTCTAGATCTTCACACCTTCACACCTGCAGATCT